ACCCGGCCGGTCGTTTCATGAGTTACAGCCCCATTTTCCCCTTTTCTGCTTCTTTTCGTGTCCTTCATCTATATTATGATATGTCGGGTCAGTTGGTTCGGGTCTGGAGTGGTTTCAAAGAGGATTTGAGACACTTAGTCTCTTTTATGAAGGCTTAAGTTGGGAAAGTTTATCGGATGATGACTTATGTGTAAACGATCTCGGATTTGAATTTTGAAGGTTCCGTTAGCTCCGTTAAGTGATTTTTAAATAGGGAACGCGTTCGGAATGTGATTTGGTGGCACGTGGTAGAATTAGGCTTGAATTGGCGAAAGTTAGAATTTTGGCGATTTTGGTCGGCAGTGGAAATTTTGATATCGGGGTCGGAATGGAACTCCGGAAGTTGGAGTAGGTTCTTGGTGTCATTTGTGACGTGTGTGCAAAATTGGAGGTCATTCGGACGTGATTTGATAGGTTTCAGCATCGTTTGCGGAATTTGGAAGTTTAGGAGTTCTTAGGCTTGAATCCGAGTGTAATTTGGTGTTTTAATGTTGTTTTGAGTGATTCGAAGGCTCAACTAAGTTTGAATGATGTTATAGAATGTGTTGGTATGTTTGGTTGAGGTCCCGAGAGCCTCGGGTGAGTTCTGGGTGGTTAACGGATCAACTTTGAAGTTTGGAGAATGGCTGAAGTTTGGAACTTAGTTGTCATAACCGCAGCTGCGGAGAGGGAGCCGCAGGTGCGAGCCTCAGAAGCGGGAATTTGATCGTAGGAGCGATAGGAAAAAGAGTTGGTAGAGTCTGCAGGTGCGAGGGGTTAGTCACACCTGCGATGGTCGCAGAAGCGGAAGAGAGGGCGTAGGTGCGAGGCTGTACCGCAGAAGCGTGAGGATATCCGCACCTGCGTGAGCGCAGATGCGGTCTCGAGGCACAGGAGCGAGGTCCGAATTTTAAGTGAAGTTCCGCACCTGCGATGGTCTTTTCGCAAGTGCGGCATCGCAGAAGCGACAATTGGACCGCAGATGCGGTATCGCTGGGCAGAAAGTATAAATAACACACTTAACTAATTTTGGTTCATTTCTACCATTTTCAAGTTGGTTTTTGGAGCTTTTGGAGTGATTTTGAAGGGAGATTCAAGGGGTTTTCAGTGAGGTAAGTTGCTTGAGCTCTAGTACTCCTATCTATGGTGTTTTCCCATTGTTTTATCAATTAATTAGTAAAAATTAGGGATGAAAATGAGGGGTTAGGGTTTGGGATTTTGGAGAGTTTGATTTGAGGATTTGAGGGGCCAAATGGAGTCGGATTTTGATAAATTTTGTATGTATGGACTCGTGAGTGAACGGGCTTTCAAGTTCTGTAATTATTGTCGGATTTCGAGACGTGGGCTCGGGGCCGGGTTTTAACCAATTTCGGGTTCTTTGTATAATTTAGTAGTTTTTCTTGTGGAATTCATTCCTTTAGCATATATTGATGGTATTGTACTGGTTGTGATTTGTGAATAGATTCGGAGCATTTGGAGGATGAATCGAGGGGCAAGAGCATCGCGGAATAGAGATTTGATCTGTTTGAGGTAAGTAACGATTGTAAATCTAGTCCTGAGGGTATGAAACTCCGGATTTTATGTCATGTGACTATTTTGAGGTGGCACACATGCTAGGTGACGGGCGTGTGGGCGTGCACCGTTGGGGATTGTGACTTGATACGTCCCGTATCTACTGTAAAGTTGAATATTTTGTTGAAACTACATGCTTCTTACGTGTCTTAAAGAGAATTTCTGTAAATCGGGTTGGATGTCATGTTGAGGCCTTATGCTAGTGTTGTTTGGACCCTTAGAGGTCTTTTATTGCTATCCTCTCATTGTTCTCGATTGGAAATCTATACTCAGCCATGTTTATACGTATTTACTGCATAACTCAGTCTCTATTACTCCATTTTGATGCATCATATAAATGTTTGTTTGGGCAGAATACCTTGTTTTCTGAGAGCCCGAGAGGCTGGAGAGGTTATGACTGAGTGAGGCCGAGGGCCTGATTTGTAAGGATATTTATGGGATCGGGCTACACGCCGCAGCATATTTTACTGATTCATGACTGAGTGAGGGCGAGGGCCAGATTGATTTATGCCATGATTGACTTGTTATAGCGCTTGGGCTGAAGGAGCCCCTCCGGAATCCGCACACCCCCAGTGAGCGCAAGTACCTATTGAGTGCGAGTGCCGAGTGTTGAGTGACTGGTAGGCATGAGTGATGGTGAGCTTTCCCCGAGGGGATGTATACGAGTGATGGTGAGATTTGCCCGAGGGGCTGTATATGAGTGATGTTTGCCCGAGGGGTTGTTTATGATTTCACCATTTTTGCTCACTTTTGTATTGAGCCTTTGTTTGGAAACTGTTGAAAAATATTTTAAACGATTTATTGGAACTGGATTTAAACAAGCTGATTTGATTCAAACTATGGTTTTAAAAGCGTATCGTATTTTACTGAGTTTCTGTGATATGAACTTTACTTGCATTACTGCTCGTCACTACTTCTCAGCCTTTATTTACTGTTGTTACTTACTGAGTTGGCGTACTCACGTTACTCCCTGCACCTTGTGTGCAGATCCAGGCGTATCTGGACACGGTAGCGGCTGTTGACTATTCTAGTTGCAGATTTTCTCGGAGATAGCAAGGTAGCTGCCTGGCAATTGCAGCCCTGCTCTTCTCTCTCTTATCTTCAATTAGTTGTTTTTAGTTATTTTTCAGACTATGTTAGTCTCGATATTGTTATAAAAATTATAGTAGATGCTCGTGACTAGTGACACCCCGATGTCGAGCTTTTCTTTTCCGCGCTTCTGTTTTGATTTGAACTCCTTTATGAAGATTTTATATTAAATAGCTTTAGAATTGTCTTTGAAATGAAAATATCGAATTGTTTTTGTAATGTGTCAGCTTTCCTAGTACCACGTTAGGCGCCATCACAACAGGGTTAGTTTTTGGATCGTGACAGCAACGAAATTAAATAAAAGTTTATATTGTGGGATCTGGTTGCACGCCGCAGTGAAAATTATTGAAGTAATAATCTGTTTTGACTGCCGGGTTGGTTTCGATTATTGAGATGTGCTACCTGTTTTATTTCTATTCATGTCTTCCTATTATTGTTGTTATTATTATTATTATTGCGTACAGGTTAATGTAAGTGACATGCCTTAGCCTCGTCACTACTTCGTCGAGGTTAGGCTCGGCACTTACTGAGTATATGGTTTGGTTGTACTCATACTACACTCTGCACTTCTTGTGCATATACCGAAGTTGGTCCTAGCGGCGCAAGTAGACTTGCTCGGATTCTGCTATTCAGAGGAGACTTGAGGTATAGTTGCATGGGGTTCGCAGTTCTGAAAGTCCCCTTCTATATTATCTTAGCTGTGTATTTTCTTTCAGACAGCTATATTTTTCATTCGGACCTTTATTTGTATTATTCTAGTAGCTCGTGCACTTGTGACACCAGTTCTGGGATGGTATTTAGACATCACTATTATTATGAATTATTCACTTTGTTTCAGATTTTATTTCAGCATTTATTTCTTTGTTATTAATTGAATTAAAACTGTTAAAAATGGCTAATATTATTCTAACATTGGCTTGCCTAGCAAGTGAAATGTTAGGCGCCATCACGGTCCCGAAGGTGGAATTTTCGGGTCGTGACATTTACGGGTTCCGTTGAACCCTCTTTGTACATCATAGGTCCGCCTTTGAATGACAGTGCATTATACACCTTGTTGAAGTGATTGCTACGATCACGAAGAAACCATAAATTGTATAGCTAATTTTCAATTACATAGTATGTTTAAGATCACAATATTCAAAGGATACCTTTGTTATATTATAAACACCTTTAATTGAAGATCACAAGATTCAAAATCTTCTTTACATTCGTAAACTTTGTGCTTAATCAAATAGAGACACATAGAAAATTAAATGGACGGATCGTAACATTAGCAAATTGGTAGGTGTCTTGATTAAATTTTTTGAGTATTCATGATTAAAATAACGTCTAAGTATTAGTTCAAATAAGTAATATAATGTTTATAATGTAGAGGTCAATTTATTTACAAATATCTAGATTATAAACATCATATTACTTATTTGAACTAATACTTAGACGTTATTATAAACGTCATATTACTTATTTGAACTAATACTTAGACGTTATTTTAATCATTAGTACTCAAAAAAATTAATCAAGACACCTACCAATTTGCTAATGTTACGATCCGTCCATTTAATTTTCTATGTGTCTCAATTTGATTAAGCACAAAGTTTACGAATGTAAAGAAGATTTTGAATCTTGTGATCTTCAATTAAAAGTGTTAATCCTGTCTTTCTTTGATAAGAATCAATACGATCTTTATAAGGATCGTATCTGTGGCTACTGTTGTTTTACCGGTCTGTCTGTCCCCGATAATTAATTCTCGCTGACCACGTCCTATAGAACCCTATCGGGGAGTGAAATAGAACATGAAACCGTAAGCTCCCAAGCAGTGGGAGGAGCCGTCGTTAATAGGTGCACTCATCCATGTCCTTACCATCCAATAGTTGGTTCATATATGCCCTTAAGTTAACTAAATTTACCAATTAACTTAATTTGCAAATTATTAAACTAATTAGCACCAGATTGCGACACGTGTCGTGATCCTAAAGCTCCTCTACTTACTTAGTACTAACCGCACTGAGCCTTAAGATTGCGCACGTGTCACAATCTAGTACTAATAATCAGCTAATTAATTTAATTGGGGGATTTAGTTACCTAAGGGCATATTTGGACCAACTATTGGACGATAAAGGTATGAATGAGCCCACCTATAAACGACGGGCATATCTGCTTAATTTTGCATAGTTGAAGAGCATATCTGGCCTTTTCCGTTTTATATAAGTGATGGTCAAAACCGAACATGTTTTTTTAAATCTTACAAAAAATACTTTTTTATTAGGAAGATCTCAACAAGTTTTGTCATTAAGCTCGGAGGGAATAGAAACCATACATAAGTCATAACGTAGAATCCCATCGTTGGCTAACTTAACAAACCCACGGAATACTCGCACGTAGCATTTCTCAAAAGCAGTATCACTTTGGATCAATTAGGACTTTTTTTTTTTAATTTGTTACGAAAAGGTCCAAATTTATGTTTGTACTTTGCATAAATAGCCACAACAATAGCTTCTTCCACTCTCACTACTCAGTTTTTTGAGTGCATAATTCAGGAACATCAAAATAACCGGAAAAATGGAGCAGACCTTCATCATGATCAAGCCTGATGGTGTCCAACGTGGCCTGGTTTGCTTCATTTCGATTTCGTTTAATTTTGTTTTTATTCCTATTAGATTAGATGTAAGTAATTCTCTTTTTTTTTGTTAGTTGATCTATGCTTTAATTGACTAATTTTGGATCAATGTTTTGATTTTATGTTTCAGGTTGGCGAGATTATTGGAAGATTCGAGAAAAAAGGTTTCTCTTTGAAAGGTAAATTTTCTCACTGGCTTCGCATTCCCCAAATTGTGATTAGTAGATGGTTATTTTGGTAGATCGATTTAACAATAAGGGCTTTAATGTAAAATTTAGTCGAAACAACGATCCATTGTGCTTGCTTTGTTGTCTTTTCTTCGTTATTGACGAATTGGTGATACAATGAAGGGGTTTCAATTGAATCCCCTTCGTCAAAAATTACACTATTGAAATAAGGTAAAAGAAAAGATCTTTTGAACATATATATCAATTTTTGAATGCCCTTATCATAAACGAAGCTTCTACTACGGTGGCAAAGGTGGTTCAAAAATTGATTTAGGTCATAGGTTCAGTCCTAGGCATGGCATTCTTGCATCCCTTTGAATCCCTTGGTAGAATTCGTGGCTCCGTTACTGATACAATAGACGAGCAAATTGTGGTCAGCTTACCTAAGTGTTGTTCCCTGAACAAAAAGATATTACCAGTCATAATTTAGTACGCCCTTGTTGTAATTTTTTAATATTTATGCGACAACTTTATTAGACGATTGCATACTTCTTGCATTTTATTTTTATTTGGTTTACTATGTTTAATTTGCTAGAACTAAACTTGTCGTGTTGGTTACTTTGTTTGGATCTAGGCTTGAAGCTGATTACTGTGGATCGCGCTTTTGCTGAAAAGCACTATGCGGACTTGTCTGCAAAGCCATTCTTCAATGGTCTTGTTGAATACATTGTTTCTGGCCCCGTTGTTGCGATGGTCTGGGCGGGTAAGAGTGTAGTTACTACCGGTAGGAAGATAATTGGCGCAACAAATCCATTGGAATCTGCTGCTGGCACCATCCGTGGTGATTATGCTATTGACATTGGGAGGTAAAACATTTAATTTCCCAGTTTAGTGTTTTCTGTTGTTCGCATTTCTCTCTAGCCAATGGTGCAATAGTTAGGACTATTTTGTGTTCCAATACACCAGCACCAAGTAAAAACTCGTTTTTGATTGCTATGCTCAATCATGTAATGTATATTCAGTATTTCAAGCTCTTATCCTAGCGATGATGCATACCGACGACATGGCCCTTGATAGGCAGGGTTGGAGGGCGAGGATTACGGTAGAAGGTTAGCCGGCACTTGCGCGTCTTTCATTTCCTTCCACCAGTAGTAGCGTTATTCTAGTATTTCCATATTCTTAAAATTCTATTACTACCTGATGTTGCTTGTGTTTTAGTTGTTCTACTTACTTGTTACTGCTTTCCTAACTTTTACACTATTGCATTTCTTCTCTATACTGTTGTGATTTGCATGCTTGTTTGGAGCTGAGGGTCTACAGGAAACAGCCTCTCTACTTGCACAATTGGTAGGGGTAAGGCTGCGTACGTACTACCCCCGAGACCCCATTTTTGGGATTCCATTGTATTTGTTGTTATTGTTATTGTTGTTGTTGTTGGAAAGTTGATCCTATTCAATCCCAATCTTATGTATTTATGTTGTTGGAGATGACGGAGTAAACTGTTATCTTTGGACTATCAAATTAGTGCGGTAGCTGTAAGTATGAGAACCTTTCTTAATTGCAGGAACGTTATCCATGGAAGTGATTCTGTTGAGAGCGCTAAGAAGGAAATTGCTCTTTGGTTTCCTGAAGGTGTCGCGGAGTGGCAGAGCAGCCTTCACTCTTGGATCTATGAGTAAAAGATTTTACGAGTTGACTATCAATAGCCTGTCGATATGCACACAAAGTGTATCTCATAGCGTCACCTATGTGTATCAACAACCCGTCTATCTCTATATATCTTTCCAAACTGCAACTTAAGAAATTTTGCCTGATGTTTGAGTAGAAATATTGTTGTTTCAGACTTGTTTCCATTTGCTGTTTCAACAAAACAGAGATATGATATGAGCAGAATTACTGTAGTGATATTTAGTCATTTCACTTGAAGCTGTATTTTACAATTGAGCTTTGCCATATGTCAACTTCACTATTAAAAAGGCAGCCCGATGCACTAAGGTTCCGCTATGCATGGGATCTGGGGAAGGGCTGGACCACAATGGTCTATTATTTGCAGTCTTACCCTACATTTTTGCAAGAGGCTATAAGTGTTAAGATTCGAGTATTCAGGGCGTTATATACTCCCTGGCTCCCTGCAGTTAATTTTATGTCAGCATTTGATTGGATAATTATAGGTAAACGTCAATAGAAAGTAAGATTAGTTATAACCTAAAAAGTAAGAAAAAATTACTTGTTATAACAACATTAAAATATATTGATAGTGTAAAAATATTTATGTTATTAAATTCCAAAAACATACTTTTTGTCAGCTAGTATATGGCACTATATGGGGAAGGGAATATTCCTTTCTTTTTAAGCAATAAATAAAAAATAATGCACCTTGATCACTTGCATTTGCTTTAGATCATATGTTCAAATTTTAGATTTGACATTATAAAAATTTCTTTAAATCGTGTATTTCTGATTTTCCCAAAATTACATAATAATGCACTCCATAAGTTGACCTTGCACTATTTTAGCCCAGTTACAAGTTTGCAAATATGTAGCCAAATATTAATAAGATCTTTTCTTTTTTCAATCTTTCTAATTATAACAACCTCATTTATTCCTACCTACCCATATTGTAGCTCTCTCCTCATTTTTCACCCACAAATATTTAATTTAATTAATGAAAAGAATCATATGCAAACAAAACTGAAAACAAAAATAAGTTCCCCATTCAGTCAACACTCATTCGTGCCTTCTTCCAAAACCAATACTTCTCTGAATTATTTTTTTTTATTTTGTATATCTTCAGGTTTATATATACCTATCACAACTGCAAAACGCAAAAACAGACGCGAGAAACCTAAAATCTCATCTACTTTAATGTTAATCTTGTTAAATTTCGATTATGATTTTGTGAGAAATTTGGAGTGGGTATTGTTTGAACTGATTAGAAATAGTCTAAGTAGGTTGTATACAAACTTTGAAGCTATTTGCTGGAGATTTAGACTAGTTTTATACAAGAATTGCAAGTGAAAATCGTACAAAAATTTCGTCAGCGATACTTATACACTTTTATACAATATTATACATTTTTATACAAAGAGGTACATTATGTATATAGTAGTATAAAAGTATACAAAGATGTATAATCACAGAGTGAAAATATTCTTGATACACTATGTATATAGGTGTATAAGAAGAATAAGAAGAATAAGAAGAAGAAGAAGAAGAAAAAGAAGAAGAAAATGCGAGAAATTCACCAAATACCTGTAAATAATGTATCAACCTTGTATATAATAGTATATAAGTTGTGTTTATACACTATTATATACTATTTATACAGTATTATACATTATTATACAAATGAATCCTATCAATGGTGCTTCACGTGTTCTTCTTCTTCCTTGGGCATCCTCTGAAATTTGTAAATGCCTAATTCTTGTTTTTTCTTTTACATTGTAGCTTTGAATAATTATTTTTGTGTATGTTTGGAGATTTTAAAATTTGACTTTTATTTTAATTAATTCATTAGAGGGAAAAGGGATTGGGTTAGCATATTTTAATTAAAATTGTGCCAAAATTGGCCCAAAATTTGAGCCCAATTCGGCCATACCCGGTCCATTAGGTGGTTGGCCAAGAAAGAGCTCAAAACGACGTAGTTTTATCTTGAAACTACGTTGTTTTGATAAGTGAGGTGAGATTAAATCTCATCCGTTCATACCACTTTGATCTAAGGGTTCTATTTCACTCTCCACTCCATGTATATAAGGTCTCAAGATCAGAAATTTGGCCCCCATTTTTTCCTATTCTCTTTTCTTCTTCCTCTCTCCTCACCCTCTCATCTCTTCGCCGCCCAGCGCCACCGCCGGAAATCGCCCACCGGCGGCGGCCAACCTCCAATCCACCCCAAAATTTCACCACTTCTTCCACTCAACCTCCTCTCCATGAATCCGAACCCCAAAACCCCATAACCCTTCTCAATCTCCGTAGATCTAAGCTTAACCGAAACCCTAGCCGCCGCCCACCACCCAAACTCCGAAAATTTTACACCACCGGCCTCTTCTTCTCCCCCTCGTTCCATATCTCCAACTCAAAACCTCAAAAAACCTCACCACCACCGGCGACTACCCCCACTGCCGATCCGCCGCTGCTACTGCCGGTCCGCCGCCGTCACTGCCGCCCCTCAACCACCACTGCCTCTCGTTTCTCTTCTCAAACCGGCCTCGAGCAAGTTTGTGCCGTTGATATCATTGAAACCGGACTCGGATTCGCCGGAGTTTTTGGTTTCAAGAATATCAACAATAGAAGCTTGCTCGAAGTCGTACCACTGCCTATCGTCATTTCGCGGATGCTCGAGTATATGGTAAAATCGTAATCCTCTGCCCCGTTATTAATTTTCTATTTTTTTTTTTGGGTTTTAGTTAGAATTAGTTTCTGTCTTGTTTCTTTATTTAATCCATTTCTGATTATGGTTGTCTAGTTGGTTTGTTAAATCGCTTCAGCGATAGCGTGTGTTCTGTTGGGCTTTAATAGTTAATTTTTGTTTGCTCATGTTAGTTCATAGTACATGTGTTGAAGTTTAATTACATGTTTTAATACTTGGTTTAGTTTGAATCAATAGGGTGATATTGATGTTGTTAAAATCTGAAGTTTAGATAATTTTATCATAAAATAGGATACTAGTAGCTTGCTTTTTAGTAGGGTGGCTGAAATGACTCTTTGGCTCCTGCTATAGCAGATTTCAGGCTGTCTTTTCACCTTTTGGACAGCCTTTAGCACACAAAGTCAGTCCTTTTTTGGACAGATTTTTGGTGAACCAAAATTTATCAAAAAAGTTGGCTTTTCTCTGCCTATTTAAGGGCTGCCCTTTCCTCATTTAAAGGGGGGACTCCATCACACTTCCATACATTTTTTAGAATTGCTTAAACATAAAAAACTTCAGTAGTTGAACACATGAAGAGTAAGCTGAAAATCATGAGTTTTTGGTTTAGTCTTAGAGTGCAAAATCTTTCAAAAACATATAAGAGTCTTAGAGTTTGATTCTTGAGTTCCTTCTCCTAAAGAATCACTACTGTTAGTGAGATTTCTGGGCTGTTTTAATACGGATTCACTGCTGGTTGTTGCTGTTTTTTTCTGTTATTTCTGCCATTGTTCCTGCCCACCTCACTTACTGTTTATTCTTTTGCTATCCAGGTAATCCTTTAAGACTCGTAATGTATATCTTTTCAGCAATGGGAACAACTTGAACCTGCTGCACAATTTAAATGTGTTTGATGTGATGATAGTTTGACAACAAAAGAACTTGGATGTTATTGTTATGTATCACGCATGTAATAACGTGAATATAGTCCTTTATAATACTTGAATATCGAGTTGTAAGTTTTTTTTATTGTGATATGTAAGTCGTTTATGGATTTTTAAGCATGTTTTCAAGCTATTATATCCGAGTAACAATGTTAAGTATGCCATGAATGACTTTAGGTGTATAACACATAACATGATTTCGTTTTAGTTGCTGAAATTTCACTGCCAATATATGCTTCTAGGAATGCCGTAATAATATCTTTGTGAACCTGGCCATTTTGCTGGATTTGCAAAAGTGGCTATTTTTGTAAAGTGGGCGTTTATACAATTGTGACTATGTAGTTAGTGGTCATGAATGCAAACTAAGTAAACAGCTAAGATTGTATCAACTCTGGGCCTTATTGAATCAAATAAAAGCTGGCTCATTTACCTTTAAACAACAAAATTACCCCTTTTCTTCTATATAGCATTGGGCCACATGAAATTCATTTCTTGGCCCATTTTTTAATAATAATTCAGCTAGCCCATATTTTTAGTAATGCCAGATGGGCCAATAATATTCTAGTCCACTAGCTTCCCATTCTCTAATGAATCATTAAACTAACTCAGCACCTTGTAATAGCCAAATCTAAGGCTACCCTTTTTTTTTAATTGATACGTCGGCCCAACTTTATATATATATAAATATTTGTTTAGTCAACTAACCTCGATAAAGATCAAGAAATTTTCTTTTACGAGATAACTTAGTCTTCTTTTTTATAATTAATTTAAATGGTAGGCAATTAATAGGCATGTTTTAACTTCACGGAATCGCTTGCGTAGCGTGATGTTTAACATTTAAAAAATTAATTCAACAATCTATGCCATATCCATTAGTTTTAGTTAATGTTTTGTTTAATCAATCCTTGGTTAAAATTGCGGATTCGCTTGCGTGGCGCGATAGCTAACCTTCCTTTTAATAATCTTCAAGAATTAATTTTCTCAAATGTAGTAATTTCTAAAAAAGTACTACAAATTATGAATTGTTATGATTTCGGATTCGCTTGCGCGCAATTATCATAGGTTAATTAATGTTGTTATTGGATCACGCATGCGCTTACATAGCGTGGTTATGACAACGTAATATTATCCAAATTATTTTTTTTTAATAATTCCAATAATCAAGAAATAAAAACGGATAGGTAAAACATAGAAATTCAATAAAGCATAGTTTATCCAAAATTAATTTAAGCCAAGTTTTAAGTCAATAAAGCGACCGTGCTAGAACCACGGGACCAGGGGAACGCCTTACACCTTCTCCCCGGTCAACAGAATTCCTTACCCGAACTTTATTTTCGCAGACCGATATAAAAGAGTCAAGTCTTCCTTTGAATAGGGATTCAAATAAAAGGTGACTTGGAACACCCAAAAAATCAATTCCAAGTGGCGACTCTGAACAATAAAATAATCCCTATTTCAAAATTGTCACTTTAATTGGCAAAACTCTTTAACCCACAACAATCCATAACATATCTTCTTTTGGGGGGTAGAAAAGGGGTGTGACAAAATTTAACTAAAATATAGCCTAAATTTACTCCAAATCACTTGAAATTTACGTTTTGAACTCATCTTGATGATTCCAGTCAATTCAGACAACA